AGTCAATTACCAAAATTTGGATGATTTTGAATATTCACTTGAAAAGTTATCAAAGAAAAACATTTTTCATTTTGTAACTTCGAGGGCCCGTTACTTGGTAACGAAGGATTTTAGGAAAAAAAGTTATATGAAGTACTGGTGATATTTTGACCCCGTCTATACATTCCCGAGAGGAAAAGAGGAAGTCCAGGGACACCCTGTATTTATTTTATAATCATGAGGAGTCCCGTTCACGGCCCAAAATTTACCAACTTTTCCAAGTCGAAAAAACAGCGAAAAGTTGGGGTTCTGTGGACTGTTCAGGACTGTTTCCTGTTGGGAAATCCCAAACTTCTCCTGGTCCTTTCCCTTTTCTTATTACCTCTCCCTTTCTTTTCTCTCATTTTCATTTCTCCAATTTCAATTCATTTTTTACTATTATTTTTTTTCTATCTTCACGGCCAAAACTTTACCAACTGTTTTCCAAGTCAAAAAACAGGGAGGCAGCTCTTCCCCTATGGTGACGGCCCTGTTACCTAATCTTCAACGAATTCAACAGCTGTCGGACTATCAGTTTGTGGAATGAAATATTTTGAGCGAAGTAACTTCTGTTAGTTCGAAGAAAGTCTATGGAAATGAATTTCGTGGGTCGATTAAGCATTGCTTTTTGGCAAAGAAATGCTGTTGGAGCCAAGTGGTTTACTGGGTTTGAACGAGGTGAAAGAGACTGTTAATAATAATANCCCATACATTTACAGAAAATTGATATTGATAACGCCTTTCACTAACTGCGTGCGGATTTTCGAGAGGCCAAACATGGTTGTAATGAAAGTTTGTGATAGCATTTCGGGAGAAGTTTGTCTCGTCCGTGAAGAGTACATATCTTAAATATTGAGGATTTCCAGCCAATTTTGTCAAAAACCATTGACACATAGTGATGCGTTGGGCAAGTTTCGTGGCAAACGAGACCTGTTTCACCAGAGAAATTCACCGTGTCACAAATCAATGAAAACAATGGCAAAATTGCATAAATTGGGCTTCGAATTTCTTCCCCATCCACCGTATTCTCTAGATCCGCCCCCAGCGACTCTTTACTGCTTTCAGACTTCAAAATCTCGCTCGCTGGAAGAAAATCTAGCTCCGGTGGAGAGGTGATCATCGAAACTGGGACCTATTTTGAGGCTCAAGACAAATCGTTCCCTAAATATGGTATCGCAAAATTGTTTGTTCGATATAATTTATTTATTCATTTATTCATCTGTTTATTTATTTATAGACTGGTCTACAGGTTACACCCAACTACAGAACAGGGATGTAAGTCAAATCGCAATACAATACAATTACAATAAGTTATAAGATAAAAACAAAACATATTGAACTAGCTGAAGAAAAAAAAACTAATCTCAGAGATGGAACAGTGAGAAGTGTCGAGATGCTGAATTTCAATTGACACACATGTTATGCAGAGGTGAACGTTTCAGAATATTTGTACGTGTTGTTGGCAGATAAAAAGGATTAACCATTCTAGAGGTACATTGAAATTCAAAAAAAAACTAATAAATAGAGTTTATTCTATGATGTTTTACAAAAACCGCGACATGTTTTTCGCTATACAAATAGCTTCTTCAAGCATAACTTGCTTGAAGAAGCTATTGTAAAACCCTTATAGTGAAAATCATAGAATAAACTCTATTTATTAGTTTTTTGAATATGGATTTTCATCAAGTATCGGATCGGTGGATAGATATTGTCTGATCTATCGCCTTCAAAAGCAACTAAAATGAATAATGATATCAAATTTCACGTTTTTTTTCCATGAGACTACAAACTTTTCAGAGTAAAAGATTGAGAACAACTTTGTTGATGAAAGAATTCTAGAACGATCCTTAACCATAGAATTTTCGGTTGAATTTTTCAAAAATGATTTTCACCTTGATTCCGTAGTTTGATTCTTCGTAGATGATAGAAATGTAGCTCCATCCCATTTTTCTCACGATATCCACCATGGCTTTCACTTGATAATGATCGGATGGAATTGTCCTTGAAAAGTATTCAAATCGTTGCTTGTTACTCAGTTCAGGACTAGTTGAGAAAAACGACACCTGAAACAAAAAGTGAATATTGATGACAATGCTAGCAGTAGTCTGTCAAATGATAACTTTTTTCTTATGACTATTGAAAAAAGCATCAATCTTGTAACAACAGTTCCTTGTTGAGTCAGTTAGCCAAAATATATATTGCTGATAGAAACACACTGAAATAGATTTCAAAGTTCCCCGTATTTACAAGAAGGATGGCGAACGCAATAATGCTTTGAAAAATTAAAATTTTAGTAACCCCTTTTTTTTCAGTTGTGATGTTTCCAATCTCGTATATTACTGTGAAGAAGAAGAATAAGTATGAAAATAAATTTGACTCTCGGCGTGTGTGTGAGTATGTGAGCTTCTATATACAGAGTGTAACATAATTACGTTGAAATATTCAAGTAACGTATTCCTGAGACAATTTAGAAAAACAACATAAACTTGTGTCCGGAAATGCTTCGTTCCATTTATTCATTTATTTGTTTATTCAATACATCTATCAGGCCCAAAAGCCCATTTACAAGTGTACACAATTAGAAATATGATAATTATACATATTGTAAGATCAATTTTGAATGAAACAAAAAACCTCATTTTTGAATTGTTTGAACGTTAGAAAAATATATCTACACTGTTAACATTATTAACACTTCTACATATAGTTGTTATGAGAGGATGAAAATGTTGCAGTGTATTAGAAACTGTGTTGGATATCGCTAAAATGAACAACTTTCTCCTATGAAATGTTTATCAAAAAATCATTCGTTGTCGAGATACAAATTCTTGAAATTTTTCAAAACATAAGTATTTTGCAATTTTGGTTATTTGTATCTCAAAAACGAATGATTTTTCGGAGAACATTTTAAAGAAACCCCACTCAGCGCCCTAGGAGCTGAGTGATATGCAACGATATAGTAAATTGTAAATATCTCGAAAACGGTCACCTTCAGTTATCGATAAAATGTACCTTTTTTAATTGAAAAAGATATGAGAATCAGAACATAATCATAACCATAATCACAATCACAACCACAATCATTATTACAATCATAATCATAATCATAATCTTAATCATAATCATAATCATAACCATAACCATAATCCTAATCCTAATCATAATCATAATCATAATCACATTCATATTCATATTCATAATCATAATCATAATCATAATCATAATCATATTCATAATCGTAATCGTAATCATAATCATAATCACAAACATAATCATAATCATAATCATGATTATAATCATAACCATTATCATTAATATCATTATCATTATCATCATCGTCTTTGTCATCATCATAATCATAATCATTATCATTAATATCATCATCATTATCGTCTTTGTCGTCGTCATCGTCTTTGTCTTCATTATCGTCATCATCGTCATCGTTGTCATCGTCATCGTAGTCATCATCATCATTATCATCATCATGAATATTATTACTTCCAGGTCCCTGAAATATTTCAAACACTTCTGCTGAAGTTCTACTATATGAAAATTATTCACTTTGAGGCAGTCACTCATCTCAGCTGAGCATGGAAAAATAGCAAAATTCAATTTCCTCGCTAACATTGTCTCCCGACTTATATAAATAACAATTTTCTCCGTCATCACAGTCATTTCTCGAGCTGGAGGCCATATCCAAGGGTGATTTATAAGCGAGTTAGCGCCATGAAAGAACACATGAAAGAGATTTGTTGGTTTGCGAGTGCGGAAGAATAGGCTTCTCGAGCGACATATATTTTTGAATAAATATGAAACACGAAAGACTTGGCCAGCATCTTGAAGTATGACGGGAGAAGGGAAGATTCATTTCCATTTCTGTGTGGATGAGTCAATGGAGGAAGCTCGCTGGAAATGTGGCACTTGAATATCGCGAAACGTGAGAAATAACAGCTGATGGGGCATTCAACAAACATGGAAATATACCACAAAGCAGCTCAGATCAGTGTCAAATGGTTTTGGGAAAGAGAGAGTTTTTGTTGAACACATTTTTTTCAAAATACACACTTGATCAGATCTTACTTGAGATACACTTTTTTATGAAGGACTGGGACTTGATTACATTTTCATTTGGAAACATTTTCAATTCGCTATCTATTGCTGTTACACTTGTGTAAATCGGATTACCCGTTTACAGGTTATGGAAGTTCGGAATGTCAGAAATAATTATACCTGAAGATGCAAATTTAAAATCGTTTTCAAACTGGCATGATCTACACATCTTCCTGAGAAGTTTAACTTGAAATTAATTTTGCTATGAAATTTCAATTTGTAAAATTGAAAGGGGTATATTTTCTAGGAAAGATTAATTTTTGTGTAAGAAGGGTTTTGACTTTCTACTTTTCTCTATCTTGATACAAAAAAATTTAGGTATCTTCTGAAGAAACGAAGGAAGCAGTCAATTTGAATAACTCGACAAAAAGATGTGTAGAGTTTGCAAAGAAGTAACTTCCAGACACACACTTTAGTTATACAAAAAACTTCCCTCTTTTCAGGTTGTATTACAAACATCCGTTATGGAATTGAATCAGATATTATTCACAGGATTCCTACATAGTATAATAAATGAAAGAAGTCAAATTTCACATCCTCACTGGTAGCCATGAGACACCAAATCTGGATAACATCATAAGAAAAAAACAATATATTCATTCGTTATATCACGACTTTTTGCCAAGGAATAAGTTTGATCTACTAATGTCATCCATGACAGTAAGTAATTACATTCATTGGCTCATTTGAATCTACACAGCTTTGTATGGAGTTACTTTTTTTAAATTGATTGCTTCTCTCCGTTCTTTGAAAAATTCCCACATTATTTTGCATCTAATGAAGAGTAGAAAGCCAAAACCATTTTTCTTAAAAAGGAATCTCTCCTAATAAATAAACCCGATTCAATTTGAATAAGAATACTATGGCTGGGATTTAATCAATTGAGCGAACGAATGTCATTATGTACTCTCATCGATGCACGAGTAGATCAAACTCATTCCGTGACATAAAGTCATAATTTTATGAATAAATTGGGGGTTTTTTCTTTCAATGTTGTTCAGATATGTGACAGTGAGGATGATAATGTTCCATGTGAGTGAAATATTACCCTTTTCATTTACTATATTGTGTAGGAATACTGTGAATGATATTTGATTCAATTCCACAACAAACGTTTGGAGTAAAAACTGATTAGATAAAATTGTTTTTCATAATTCGGTGTTCATATAAAAGTATTTGTTTCGAATGTTGTAATTCAATGTTTATATGGAAGTAGCTGTTTCGAAAGGGGTTTTTCTTTCAGTTTGTGTCTGAAAGTAACTCTTTTTCATGATCTGCACAACTTTGTATAGAGTTACTTTTTTGAAATTGATTGTTTGAAAAAAAAAAACCCAGGTTTGTTAATTAACAATTATCGCACTTGTGATGTTCCCGTTTGAGTAGAAAAAAATTGTTAATTAAGTAATGCATGATCAACTAGAAAATCACGTTTAACATTTTTCGACCGCGGATTATTATTCACTCATTTATCCAGTAGGTGCCTGGATTTCTTCAATACTCAATTTTTCTACTCAATGAATTATTACCTAATAACCTGTTTTTAGACGTATTGAAAATACGTAGAGAGGGTTGAAAACCCTCTGGAAAAAATATAGAGATTGGTCCTACAGTTCCAGAAGGGAAATTTTGTTCGAGAGATTTCCTCTTCTTTTAGAATCCTCTTCCAAATTATAAAAATACTGAATAGTTTTTGAGATATTTGCAAAAAATCACATCCATTTTTTCAGTTGATTGTTCATAACGTATGCAATTTTTCCAGCCGATACTTGAATTTTCCCAAAAATCATCTACATGCTGTTCCAAATTGAATGACACTTCATTTCATATTTTTCGGAGGCGTAAAAAAAGTTTGACTCAAGAGGCACTTTCACCTCCTTCACGGAGTGGCTTGTTTTTTACTTTATGAGTAACAATCACTGTCAGCGTAAGTTGCGACTACTTATTCTCCACCATTGTACTATAACATTCCTTTATTCATCGGCTCGCAAACGTTTATCATTCTTGTACACACCGCCCTTTTGTGAAAAACAAATACTTTTTTTGTGGGACGTCAATTAAAGCGTCGGCGTAAGCGTCGCGCCTCCAACGCCCTTTTTATGCCCTTTTTCATCGGCTAGTATCAGATTCGAGCGTGCAGTTCTCGGCTTTTCGAGGTACATTTTTATGGACTGACACTATACGGATTCCACACGAGCGGCTGAATCTTTGTGGGAGCAGGTTTTAGGAATATTGTAACCGCCTGACTTTCTTACAATAATAATGACAAAATGAGAGGAAATAAAAAATCGTTCAGTGCTGGTTGAATGAAATTTAATGCAATCTGTCGCAATTAAACTTATCCTTATGTCTGTTTCGGTGGTTAACACAAAGTATTTTTGAAACTTTCGTATAAATTTGTTATGAAACGTCAGTATAATTCAAAATTTTCTTTCACGAATAAAATAATTCAATTATATATTTTGGAGAAAGAGCGGGGGTTGGTGACAAAAATTCTATAATTTGGCGGAGGTAGCGGTGTAAAGTTTCTTTTGATTTATTGATGTACTGACCCGTTATTCGATTAAAATGTATAACACTATCCATGATAATAAGTTTTACAAACATTCTTCAACCTAGAAGTTAAGGTAGTCGAAGTTTTCTTACTATAAATAAAACAATTCGATTATTTATTTTGGCGGGATAGCTGAGGTTAAAAATTCTATAATTTGGTGGAGGCAGCGGTATCAATTTCCTTCAAATTTATGCATGTATTGGACCCGTTACTCGATAAAAATTTATAAAACTTTCCATGATCACAATTTCTACAAACATTTTCCAATTCTAGAAGCTGAGGTGTTACTGGTAGTAATATAACTTCCGGGTCTGAAACATCAATGTTATTCGAAGTTTTCTTGCTATGAATGAAAGAATTCAATTATAGTTCGATAGTTCAGTAATTCTATAATTTGGTGAA